GATGAGTGGAAACCGTAAGAATTTTATGGATGTTATATTTATTATAATTGCTTTAAAAATATTTAATTATGACTAATATCAATTTAATTGTGTGTTCAAACTATTCAATTATAGATGGGAGCCTCTTCAAGAGCCACCACCAGAAAAACAATGGGAATATTAGGGTTGCGACCAACCCCTTTTTTTTGAATTATGGGACATATTTAGTAACGCTAAGCCCTGTCAAATTTATCTACGTAACGATTTTCAAATCGTAACATACACAGCCTGGATATCTGTCTTACTACTTAAAAGTTCACCAATTAGCGGTATATTGAATAATGAAAATTTGTATATATTATTGTTAATTCAAAAGGAAATAAATGTTAAATGCACAAACTTTTGTATGCGATATTAATTTATTAATATTACCTTAATAGTTGGTGCTATTCAGACCCTTAGTAATAATAGACATATCATAATTTCTTGTGTCGGTATGCTATGCAAAATTTATACGTAGTAAAAATAACAATTCTATTAAGGTACGTACGTAACAACATTAAAGTCATATTATATTATTATACTAAAATATTAATATGTTTTATAAATGTTAATATTTACGCATAATTATGTTAATTTTTTAAAGAATAAATTTTATTACAAAATAAATATACAATATAATAATAATAATAATAATAATACAAAAATTTAAAAATCCTTTATGCTACACCTTTTTTCGATTCAACGCGCAAGGACTATTAGTATTTCGCATAATCAAATCACTACGCCTAATAAAATCACTACGACTATTATGCACAGTAAATATAGCCTTAGCTGGGATATATTTGTTTTCATCTATCTTTTTTAAATATTCTACTGCATCAGCTATGTTATAATTATATCCATTAAGGTCAGCTGCTACGACTAAAGATGGACTCCATGGCCAAGATTTGGTTGATATTACTTGTCCATCCAACCTTTTCCAAGCTGAAAAATAAATTTTCCATTCAGAAGGCCAAATATCGTCTAGTCGAGTAGTTAATGCAGTTTTTATGGATTCATTATGTATTTTTAATTTGGATTCAATTAAACTTCTTTCAATTTGAGCCCATAAATTATTTGTGGTTAAAAGTTTTATCCAAATTAATCCAAGTCGAGCATCTACCATATTATCAAGTATTGGGATTTTAAAATCCTCTAATTTAGAAAGATGTTCGAAAGTAATCCATTGCATAATTAAATTACTTAATTCTGCTGTTTCTTTCCTAGTAGGAGGTAAAAGATAGGCAGAATGCCATATTTTTGATAAAAGAATAGATTTTGCAATGCGAAGTCTATCTTCTAATGAAGAATTATCTTGGTTTATTTTGGTTATAATTTCTTTAATGTCCTGAGTTATTTTTTTCCATAAGTCCTTTGCTGGTTGTCCTAATTTATTGACAGTATACCCCAAAATTTTAATTGTATCATCTTCTTTGAGTTTTCTATAATTTTTTTCCCCAGGAAGATTTATTTGTGATGCATGTTCAGTTAATTGAACAAGCACCGATTTATTTTTATTTACTTCTGCATTAGAAGAAGCTTCATATTTCTTTAGTAGTTGGTGAAATGTATTCCAGTCATCA